TGAGGCAGGCAATCAGCGCCGGTGAAGTCGAAAAAGGAGATAGTTCGTTAGCGGTGCAGTGGGGAGGCGATTTCTACAATGACAGTAGAAATTGGTTTCGCAGGAATGGGATTTGCCACGGAAGAGCAATAAAACCGAAAATGGTCGTCGGACGCGAAGGAACCAAAACTGATGTGGAAAACGAAGATTAAGGAACCAGAAGAGATCGACGGAGGCGAAGAGGACGAACGCCGGGATTTATTCATTTGGCCGGGAAGAGGTTCGTGCTGACCGCAGACTCTCTTCACCTGGACAGTCCCTTCCGGTAAAAAGGCAAGCTGTTCCTCATGCAGATGATGATGATGCAGGAAATTACTGGAAAGCGATCCTCAATTTTTGCGCAGACGCATGCCGATCGTTTTGTTGGGATACGAATAAACCAAAATCGTGTGGCTGCACGGCGCCTTTTGTCCCTGATAGTGTCGACTTGTTTGTAGGCCTTGCCAAAAGATACCGATTTGTGAAGAATCCGCTGAAAATTGCTTGCAAGATGTGACTGGAAAGTATTGGAAGCAGTTGCCAGGATATTTCCATAAAGGTTCTGAACCTGGATGAAACTGCAGGTCGTCGACAGAATATCAACATGATTTCAGGAACGCAGTTTCGAAGGCTTCCCTTTCATCCTCATACAGAATATAACTGAACTCTCTTATTAGACATGGCATTTCAGACGACACGAAAAATAAGGAAAAACATCGATTTTGTGAAACCGCTCGATGCGAATATCGTCAAAAATTCATATGCTATGCTCACTGAGAAGCTTTATCCGGATCTATCGATGGTAAATTCAGAAAAAGACATGCTTAGCATTCACTAAACCGACATGCTCATGAAGAGTTACACGTTGGATTTGATCGACGAATTATCTAAACAGCTTCCTCTAAAATGCAGTAGCAAAAAGGTGCGCAGAAAAGCCTTGAACGGCCTGAAAGTGAAGATAAGGAAGGAATTTTGTGAAGAAATCACTACATACGAAGACTTTTGCTAATACGAAGAAGGGTATCCTCTAAATT